TAATACAGCGATTAAGCCAGTGTACGCACCACAGATTCTGCTGTAGTTAAAAGGTGCTACAAAGAAATTGATTTTCTAGTATTGACCGCTGTTAATAGTTACCGCCATGGGAGTTTTAAGGAATTTATTCAAGTTGTGATTATGACGTTGTCCTTTGATCTCAAACCAATGTTGGCTCTTTATTATTATTATTATTATTTCAGTACTCGGAATCCACATTCCATTTTTAAATCATCTATGCAAGTATTTTTTTTAAATTTATTTTTACATTTTAGAATGAATATATTTACTATTGCAGAAACAGAGCACTGGGTTTTATTTGATATGCTCTCCTCACATTGGATTGGCACTCGTTTTTATTTTCGAGAAATTATTCTTGGGGCTATTCATCCTTAGTTTGCTTTTTGATGAAATGTGTGATTTCCTATTTTCATTTTTAAAAGCTATGTATCTGTCAAGGGACCCCGATTGCATTACTTTAAACAAAAAAAACCTTCATCAGTGAGACCCCTTGAGATCAGTTCTAAGATGGCATCAGATTAAACGTGGATAAAATGGTTCCTTGGTTGAAGTTCTGTATCCCTTATCTTGTCTGATATGATAAAACCATGTTCATAGCAGAGTATGGGAATGACTATCATCTCTTGAATTAGGCAACAAATATTCACCAAAACAATGACAAACACATGATTCTTTTGTTTTTACGCAACAAAAATTGGCATTTAATAATAATAAAAATTAGAAGATGGTTTAAAATCAATGTTTTTGAAAGCTCATTCTGAATATTTTGATAACTATGAAATTAACACCAAATAAGGCTGGGAACATTGTTAGGATTATGACAGACATTGTATAAGCTTACAAGAGCAGGAAAAAAATAAGATCAGACAAACCATTGTGGCACAGCTAGTATATCTCAGAAATCAGAGGATTAAAATTATTTTTTTTAGATTTTTGGGGGTTTTTTTTGTTTTGTTTTTTTATTTCCCATGAGGGTTTCGTAATCCCACGATTTTGTATGTGCATGGATTCTAAAGAACACGAATCGCATGAGGAAGTTGTTAATGTCAGATTTCCGCCTTTTACGATTTGCTCATATTTTTCTAACTTTTCATCTTGGGATTTCTTATTAAAAAAAAGCAAAAAATGATAATCTCACTGAATTGTAGCCGTTTGTTTTCTTTCTCCTTGTATAATAATTTGATATTCTGCCGTTGCTGTTTGTTCGATTGTTATATGTATTTTCACGTCGATGAGAGAAAAACAGCATTGTCTGTTTCTTTAAATAGTTTTGGATAATTGTGATTCAGCATGATGATGGATGGAGTGTTATGTTCTTTTCTTTCCTGGCAAGTTGACAATCATCCATATGACGGGGAGAAGGTGTGGCATGTGATTTTTTTTATATAATATCTCTTTATCTTTTCTTTTCAATAGCCATCAGAAAAGCATTGTTTCATCAGCACTTTAATCCTGTACACTGTAACATGCTCTACTATGATTTCCCACACAATTGTTAAAAAACAGACTATAGACGCGACACACATATGCAAGTGAAAATACCTGTGTATACGTTTTTTTTTTTTTTTTATAATTAGTAGATTGACAATCATGTCTTTGCAACATGTTACATGTCTCTAGTTGGGAAACACAGTTATGAAAAGCATCAAAAATAACAAAAGATAAAAAAAAAAAAATCCTATGCAATTGTGTTGATCTGAGGGTTTTGTAACAGATTCAAGCGACAAACAGATGTTCACAGAAATAATTGCATAATACATGGATTCTTCTTTGCTTCACAATATCCAATTGGATTTGTAGCGACTGTCTCTGTTGCAGTGAAATGAGAAACTAAATGAAAAAAAAAATTATACAAAAGGTGTCGTAGAGAAGAGTACATGACACAAGTGTTAATTTTCACATGGATGAGACTGGGAGGTGTCAAGGCAATCATATTTTTCCGGGTAAGAAAACTTAAAGCAGTGAAAATCAACATCTCTGTGCAAATTTAAATAAGCGTTGTTTCACTGTTGATTGCTCAAATAAGCAAAACTCTGCGTGACACAAGAAGGAGCAAAATCGACCGAGACGTGCGAGTTAGGTGTAAATAGGTATGGTCAGCGAGTACTGTGCCTGTGTCACTGCGGAGTCGTTAACGTCAGGGGAATCGGCGTAATTGGCCGTATATTGGATAAAAACCAACTCTAGTATAGTTTTGATGCCCAATCACTTGGTAATAAACACTTCAAGTAGCCTACACAAATCACGTTATCAATCTGCGCTGACTCGTTGATAGCTTTTGGTCAACCAATTTTGCCTCCGGCAATAACCCACAACTGATATGCCCTGCTTGCTGCTTGTCTTCCTCTTAGAGAGACTGACTGCAATATTTGGTTAAACGTTTGATTTTAACACAGGACGGTATAATATATGTGATTGCTTTGTTAAATTATATTATATTTTTAAAATAAATGGTATATATATGAAATTATTGCAATGAATTTTAAAATTTATTAAATTCCAAGCAAAATATAAGAATTATATCTTAATATATTTCTTGTCCTCTTTAAATGTGCCAATCTTGCCATATATTAGGCGATAGTGATTTTTACAATGGTGAATCGTACAAAAGACTGTTTCATGGCAAATTTAAGACTTGTTTATCTTTACTCCAATAAATACACTTAAGCTAGATTATATATCTATATTTAGTGTCAGAAAATTCTCTATTTTGAGAAAAGTTTCTCAACACCAACAGGATTAGAAACGTGTTCTATTTTCAAAGAATCTAAAAAAAATAAAAAAAAATATTTATGTTCATTGAAATTACCGCCCTAGTCCTAAATTGGTTTGAAGATTTAAACGGTAGATGAAAGCCAATATTTCTTTGAAACTGTTCCTAGAATTGTGTCTAGATATTACATTTTCAAAGCATTTTTGCAACGCTTCATTTGTTTTCACTATGGCGGTAGCAAAACTACATACTTTGATATTTTCAGAATTCTTTTAATCAAAATGCTGGTAGAGTAAAACAAAAATCAACCCCAGGATAGCTCGTTAGACAAAAAAAAAAATAGTGTGGCCTTGATTACCAACACAAACATGCTCTACGACCATTGTAAAATACAACGCATTTTTCAGGAAAAAAAAAAAGACTACTTTATTTTTAACATCATAGACAATCTTTCTGCTGGTGTCCGTTTATTTTTCTCTTATTGAGAAACATTTATTGTTTTTAGAAAGTGGCAAACAATACGTATACTGGTATGAAAGCATATGGGTATACAATAAATGTCATCTATATTGCCAATTTTTGTTATTTTGAAAATGTAAATGGCTTAGTCTATAATTCAGAGTGCATTTGGCAAAAAGTACTGGTACTTTTCAAGCACCGGTGAAACACTATCTTTTGTTTCCCTGAATCATCAGCAGATGCAATCTGTTTTCTAATATGCATATGCAGCAGCTCATTAATATTTGAGTAGAAATAAAGAAATTGCCCTTTGGCAATTTTGGAACAACTTTAAAAAAAAAAAAAAAAATGCAAGCAATTTATTTCTAGTGTGGAAATCAACCAAAAAATACAGAGAAATCACTGTTTTAAAAATAAATCTGACTAGGATAAATATTTTGCAAGACAATGCTTAAAAATTGGAATTAAGATCTATAAGGTGAAATGTGTTTACATTAAACTGTTCCTTTCTTTGATTTCCTCATCATCTCAATTTTTCAGATTGATTTATGTTCCACGGTGTCTGCTCCTAGTGTCCCCCAGTCTCACCCCTATTTGATTATCATAAATCAACTCACCTGCCTCTAGACCCAACTATTTACCTCTATGTTTACATGGTACAGTAAAAGGTACTATTATGGATAGCATATTGATAACCCATTTAAATGTAGCCTTACCTATCTTTGTAGTTTATGCATGCATTTTACATTGATAATTTTTATCTTTTTCATTCTCATTTTTTTCTTTCTTTTTTTTTATGGCGCATGTCTGATTCATAAATGTTATCAAACGTGAAAGGTTTGCTGAGTCCGCTCATCAGATTCGTAAATTGCTAACTTATTTTCAATCCTGCCTATCTCGTCCTGACATTTGCTGACTGTCTTTTATAATTTTGTTTTTAAAAGAACGAAGAGATGAATGCAATTAGCAAACGGCCTCGTTTTTTTTTTCCCCCTCGTCTTCTTCACTCGGTGTGCGAATTTAGTAAATTACATTTGCAATCATCACGAAGAAAACACTAGTAAGAAGCAAATTTGCTCAAATAATTTTAATTTTATGAAATTATGTCCCGTTTGCAATTAGAGGAAGGGTTATAATTGCATCTTGCTAATAAAATATGCATTGCTAGCCTGTGCTGTTAATTTGTTTTTGTGCAAATTTGATTGTGAATTGCATGAAGTGGAAAAAAAAAAAGGGCAGAGGAAAAAAAAAAGTCAGCATGTGTTGTGGGTATTATTTGACACTTTGCTTGGTTGAATAGCTTTAACCTGTACAACATGTCTTTCAGTGTCATGTATATTCTCTGTTATTGTCGCACCAA